CCCCAAAACCCCAAAACCCCAAAACCCCTTGTCGGAATCTTCAGATAGAATATTCCAAGTATATTTATATCTTACAATAATGATGAAAATATGGTTACTTAGCTTCCATTCTTTTACAAGAAGTTGATGCTTTGGCTATCTTTAAGGACCTTGTAGGGCCTAAGCCTGGCTTCTGCTCCTTTCTATCCTTGCTCTTTCTTAAGTCTAAAAGTATATAAGCATATAAATAAGGGAAATTTAGTGCACAGAGAATACTTAAGGTAATAAGGCTTTTTAAGTCAACCTCTTTGTAACAAAGACCTGTTAATTACCGAAAGTTTTACGCTTGAGCTTACTGATTTTTGACAGCCTGTTCTTCTTGCCCCTCTTTGGCTTGATCATCTTTGTAGAAGCACTGATCTTGCTCTTTCGAAATTTTGGAGAAGACTTTAATATCTGTGAATATTTTGATGACTCAAATAGGTTTAATAGGTTTTTATCAACCTGCTTTATGTTGACAGATTCTTTAGCATTTTCTTTGTTAGGTCTGGGAATAAGTCTTACAAAATCCTCGAGGGAAATTACTGTCCAAGGTTAGTGATTCAGGCAACGGTTGAGGGAGGTTCATCATTTTCTGAGGTGGACAGATTATACTGTCTAATAGATTATTCATAGCAATAATAACACAGCTGATGTTGTCAAGAGTTCCAGCTAATATACTCTTTTTCAGTACCATATCCACTCATTCTCCTAGGCATTCATGAAGATTGAACTTATTAAGACCTTCTTTTGACTTAAGGGTCTTCCATACAACTCTTGAGAGATAAGAATTACTGCATTTCTCAAAAATTCCATCACTTCCCAGTAACAGAAAATCAGTTTTCTTGCTGAGTTTAAAAGTCTGTATTTCTGGTGTAGATATTAACACTTTTGGATTACCTCCAAGAAGGGGGTTTTTAGCCTCAATATCTCCAAAAGCTCTCGAGACTGATAATCTTCCAGGAAGGATCCGTACTGGACCAAGTTTTAGACCATCCTCTATAGATGAAACTAACATTATTTACTTTGTAGTTGAGTTTGATAAGTAGAACCTCCATTTTTATTTATCCTATCAGCTTCATCTTTTCAACTTGGCTTGTGATCTATTGACATTCATTTGACCGACTTTCCTGAGTTGATGGATAAAATTGCTCGGCTGTCACCGAGGTTAGCTACATATCACACATCTCCAACTATTAGGGCCACATTGGCGCAGGATCCTGAGGTATCAGAAATATGAGACATTTCGAAGTTACTCTGTTTACGTATTTTCTCATAAAACAAGCCCTCTGCTTTCTTAAAGGCATTTAATAATGCCTTTTTAGGATTCTCAGGGAATCAAGGATCTGTATACAGAATTCTATGGAGGGATTTCCTTAGAAATTCTGCACATCCTTGCCCTCCATGTCCATCAAAGACACCAAAAAAGTGGGTCTTTGGCCACATCTGAGGGTCTTGGATCTTAGGACAAGCTGCGTTTATAATAATGCTGACTCTGTCTTCATTATAATTTCGATTGATTCCTTGATTAGTGTTGGCAGCAAACCCAAAAATATTGCCCAACTCCTTAGTAGAAAGAGTTGGCTGATCGTAATTGGGCAAAGAGATTGAATGTAAGTTGGTCATTGAACTCGCATTCCTACTATTTGGCTTTTCCTGTGGGTAAAACGCAACCTTCTTGTTACTATTCTGACACTTTATCTTCTTAGTTCTGCAGTTATTTGAGATATTTCGTAAGCGACATCGCTGAGGATGATTTCTTTTGAAAGCGCTGGTCAAGAGTCCATCTTTCAAAATCTCTGTTATGCTTAGTAGCCTTTATTTCATTATTATTCTCTGTTTTGAAATATGTCTTAAGGTTTTTATTATTTTGAATTTCCCACACTTGTGATTGTCATACTAGATGGAATCAGGCCTAGAAACTAGCTAACTTACCCAGAGAATAATTTTGAAACTTTCCGGTTTGAGTCCATATTCTTAAGCACTGTTTGAATGCTAAGTCTGTTTGAAGACTGGCTAGCTTTCCCACTATGAGAGAGTAAGGAATTTAAAGGGAAAAATGAGCTTCTAAACTCTTTCCCCTTCCCTTTTATATGCACAGGGTCTTTATCCTTCAGGGATGACATTGAAATTGGAATTTTATAGTTTGAAGAGCTCGGAGTTTTCATTTTATTATTTCAATAAAAAATCATTATTAGGGGTTTTGGGGTTTTGGGGTTTTGGGGTTTTGGGGTTTTGGGG